AATAGCTGTCTAATTGTCTAGCACATGATCTGGGTGCCCATTATGAAAAATGTTCAAATTATTAGGATAATTATTCAAATTATTCAAATTGTAAATTATTCATATTGTAAATTATTCAAATTATTCAAATTGTAAATTATTCATATTGTAAATTATTCAAATTATTCAAATTGTAAATTATTCATATTGTAAATTATTCAAAAATTATTCAAATTATTCAAATTATTCATATTGTAAATAATTCAAATTAATCAAATTATGGAAATTAGGATAGACTCCGCGAATCACTCCTCCCTCCATATTGTAAATAATTCAAATTATGAAAAATATTCAAATTATTAGGATAATTATTCTAATTGTTCAAATTATGGAAATTATTCAAATTATTCATACTGTAAATTATTCAAATTATTCATATTGTAAATTATTCAAATTATTCATATTGTAAATAATTCAAATTATGGAAATTATGGAAAAAACATATAAGTATATATTGCCGTTTGGAAATTAGGAAGGAAGGCATATTGTAAATAATTCAAATTATGGAAATTATGGAAATAAGCATATAAGGATATATTGCCGTTTGGAAATCAGGAAGGAAGGAAGGAATGAAACTTCCATAGAAGAGAGGAAAAGCGTGTTCGAAGAAAATAAGGAATGTAAGAAACATACTATTTACTACTGATGAGAGAGAGGGAGAGAGTATATTCATGTTCAAATGTGTCTCTCGCACTCAGCCATCACTGTTTGAAAAAAAATCTCCCTTGCCATCATTGATCCCTTGTCCGCTCTGTCTATCCATATATATTAATCACTTTTAGTTCAGCCATTCCACACAGTCTCTCTCTCTCTCTCTCTCTCTCTCTCTCTCACAACAGTTTTTGCAGCCATTCACACAGTCTCTCTATCTCTCTCTCACGATAGTTTTTGCAGCCATTCACACAGTCTCTCTCTCTCACTCTCTCTCTCTCTCTCTCTCTCTCTCTCTCTCTCTCTCTATGTCTCAAAATGACAGAGTCACAGAATAAGGTTTTTTCCGCCTTTTGGTACTCCGACATCCTCCGCCGCCTCTTCTACACCGACAGCAGCAAGGAAGATCAGAAGGAAAAAAGTTAGAGTTATGATTTTTGATCTTCATCATTTTGATCTTCACAGTTTGAGTCCTCATGAACCAATGTCTGCGTCTTTGGCGTTCACAACTGAAGCCATTAAGTTGTTGGAGGAAGAGCAGTTTCTTCTGTTGAATAAGTAAATTCAGTAATTTTCTCTATATTTCTCTCTCCCCCCCCCCTTCTTCTTCTTCTCTCTCTAATCTTTGCCTCATTGAATTTCTACAGGAAAGAAAAGGACCCGTTGAAACCGAAGCAACCCATGTCTGCGTTTTTCATGTTCAGAAATGAGCGAAGAGCGGAGAGCAAGAGTGGCTGGGAGGTAATTGAAAAATGGAATAACATGACAGAGAAACAGAAGAAGCCTTATGAAAAGGTTCAATTAACTATGTCTTTCTCTATTAATCTCTCTCTCTCTCTCTCTCTCTCTCTCTCTCTTATTGTCTCAGCAACATCAATTTCATATTTTGGGAACTTGCAGATTGCAAAACAAAACATGGAAAAGTATTTAGAAGAAATGGAATTACCATATAAAATTGTCTATATTTTTTTTATCGTCATATGCCATTGTTTATATGATAATTAATCTCGACAAATAAGAAAAATCACAACACAAAGTCATCATTTGTCTTTTAATTTTCTAATAATGGTATAAATCTCCACATTTCAGTCATACAATATTTTACTACATGATTAATTTAGAATATCACATAAATAATATTACTTAATGTTTTGAAATTACTAAATAATTACCCTATGATCATGGTTTTTCTACCAAACTAGATGTTAGGATTGAAATTTCAACGCTTCTTTAAAAAATAGAAAGAAAAAGTAGCATTATATAAATGAATGTAAATCATCATGATGGTTTACACGAATCTACATTACTTGTTACCTATTTTCTCTTCTCTATCCTATTGGATCTTATTTGATTCTTATGATGATTTTTGTGACATGAATAATTTTATAAATTAACAAAATTTAAAGAGACAAAAAAGAAACATGTGATATTTGTTTCGTTTACCCATCAAGTGATACGAAATTAAGTTTAAGAGGTTGTTTGGGAGACTGATAAAATAAAATAAAATCAAAAATCAAAAAATCATTAAAAAAGTTTTAAAAAATCCTAAAAAAAAGTTAAAGATTCATTTCTTTCTTTTTGTACTTTTTTTTTAAAAAATTCAAAAAATTATTCTTAAACACTTTATTTTTTTCACCTCATAATTTAACAAAAATACTAAAAAACCATTTCCTTAACAAGCCCTAAGCATAAATGCATATATTTATTTTTTTCTGCTCCGATAAGTGCGTCTCAAACTTTTACTTAGATTTCCCATCAAATTTAAATTTGTTAAAATACTCACACTTTTGTTACACCAACCATGACATCAAACCAATATCAAATGAAAGGAAAATAAAAAATTTCATTAAATTAAGGAAGGCTTCATCGTTTATCAAATTTTTACAGATAGCCATTACTTTCGCAGAGACTTCACCATACACCGGATGACCGATTGATTGTCCTCCCGATCACCTGATTGTTTGATGAAAAGTTACATAAGTCGGACGACCTCTTGGTCAACCAGTTGTTTGATAAAAATTAAAAAATTAGCATTGGAACACATAGTATCATATGAAACTTTTCATTAATTTTTTATTCAAATTTAATATTAAATTTTTTTTGAGTAAGCGTTAGAGATACTCTAATAGCTGTCTAATTGTCTAGCACATGATCTGGGTGCCCATTATGAAAATTATTCAAATTATTAAGATAATTATTCAAATTATGGAAATTATTCAAATTATTCAAATTATTCATATTGTAAATAATTCAAATTATGAAAAATATTCAAATTATTAGGATAATTATTCAAATTATTCAAATTATGGAAATTTTCAAATTATTCATATTGTAAATTATTCAAATTATTCAAATATTATTCAAATTATTCATATTGTAAATAATTCAAATTATGGAAATTATGGAAATAAGCATATAAGGATATATTGCCTTTTGGAAATTAGGAAGGAAGGAATGAAACTTCCATAGAAGAGAGGGAAAGCGTGTTCAAAGAAAATAAGGAATGTAAGAAAGATATTATTTACTACTGATGAGAGAGAGGCAGAAAATATATTCATGTTCAAATGTGTCTCTCGCACTCAACCGTCACTGTTTGAAAAAAAAAAAAAAATCCCTTGATTCATATTGTAAATAATTCAAATTATGGAAATTATGGAAATAAGCATATAAGGATATATTGCCTTTTGGAATTAGGAAGGAAGGAATGAAACTTCCACAGAAGAGAGGGAAAGCGTGTTCAAATAAAATAAGGAATGTAAGAAAGATATTATTTACTACTGATGAGAGAGAGGCAGAGAGTATATTCATGTTCAAATGTGTCTCTCGCACTCAACCGTCACTGTTTGAAAAAAAAAAAAAAAACTCCCTTGCCTTCATTGATCCCATGTCCCCTCTGTCTATCCATATATATTAATCACTTTTAGTTCAGCCATTCCACATAGTCTCTCTCTCTCTCTCTCACGACAGTTTTTGCAGCCAATCACACAGTCTCTCTATCTCTCTCTCTCACGACAGTTTTCGCAGCCATTCACACAGTCTGTCTCTATGTGTGTGTGTGTGTGTGTGTCAAAATGACAGAGTCACAAAATAAGGTTTTTTCCGCCTTTTGGTACTCCGACATCCTCCGCCGCGTCTTCTGCACCGACAACAGAAAGGAAGTTCAGAAGGAAAAAAGTTAGAGTTATGATTTTTGATCTTCATGATTTTGATCATCACAGTTTGAGTCCTCATCAACCAATGTCTGCGTCTCTAGCGTTCACAACTGAAACCATGAAGTTGTTGGAGGAAGAGCAGTTTCTTCAGTTGAATAAGTAAATTCAGTAATTTTCTCTATATTTCTCTCTCACCCCCTTCTTCTTCTTCTCTCTTTAATCTTTGTCTCATTGAATTTCTACAGGAAAGAAAAGGACCCGTTGAAACCGAAGCAACCCATGCCTACGTTTTTCATGTTCAGAAATGAGCGAAGAGCAAAGAGAAAGAGTGGCTGGGAGGTAATTGAAAAATGGAATAACATGACAGATAAACAGAAGAAGCCTTAGGAAAAGGTTCAATTAACTCTGAATTTCATATTTTGGGAACTTGCAGATTGCAAAACAAAACATGTAAAAGTATTTGGCAGAAATGGAATTACCATATAAAATTGTCTATATTTTTTTTTATCGTCATATGACATTGTTTATATGATAATTAATCTCGACAAATAAGAAAAATCACAACACACAGTCATCTTTGTCTTTTAATTATCTAATAATGGTATAAATCTCCACATTTCAGTCATACAATATTTTACTACATGATTAATTTAGAATATAACATAAATAATATTACATAATGTTTTGAAATTACTAAATAATTACCCTATGATCATGGTTTTTCTACCAAACTAGATGTTAGGATTGAAATTTCAACACTTCTTTAAAAAATAGAAAGAAAAAGTAGGATTATATAAATGAATGTAAATCATCATGATAGTTTACACGAATCTACATTTCTTGTTACCTCTTTTCTCTTCTCTATCCTATTGGATCTTATTTGATTCTTATGATGATTTTTGTGACATGAATAATTTTATAAATTAACAAAATTTAAAGAGACAAAAAAGAAACATGTGATATTTGTTTCGTTTACCCACCAAGTGATATGAAATTAAGCTTAAGAGGTTGTTTGGGAGACTGATAAAATAAAATAAAATCAAAAATCAAAAATTCATTAAAAAAGTTTTAAAAAATCCTGTAAAAAAGTTAAAGATTCATTTCTTTCTTTTTGTACTTCTTTTTTTAAAAATTCAAAAAATTATTCTTAAACACTTTATTTTTTTCACCTCACAATTTAACAAAATTACTAAAAAACCATTTCCTTGCACATGCCCTAAGTATAAATGCATATATTTATTTTTTTCTACTCCGATAAGAGCGTCTCAAACTTTTACTTAGATTTTCCATCAAATTCAAATTTGTTGAAATACGCACACTTTTGTTGTTCCGTCCACGGCATCAAACCCATATCAAATGAAAGGAAAATAAAAAATTTCATCAAATTGAGACAGGCTTCATCGTTTATCAAATTTTTACAGATAGCCGTTACTTTTGCTGAGACTTCACCATACATCGGATGACCGATTGATTGTCCTCCCGATCAACTGATTGTTTGATGAAAATTACATAAGTCGGACGACCTTGCAGAGACTTCACCATACACCGGATGACCGATTGATTGTCCTCCCGATCAACTGATTGTTTGATGAAAATTTGCATAAGTCGGACGACCTCTTGGTCAACCAGTTGTTTGATAAAAATTAAAAAATTAGCATTGGAACACATAGTATCATATGAAATTTTTCATTAATTTTTTATTCAAATTTAATATTTAATTTTTTTTTACGTAAGCGTTAGAGACACTCTAATAGCTGTCTAATTGTTTAGCACATGATCTAGGTGCCCATTATGAAAATTATTCAAATTATTACGATAATTATTCAAATTATGGAAATTATTCAAATTATTCAAATTATTCATATTGTAAATAATTCAAATTATTCAAATTATGGAAATTAGGATAGCTCCGCGAATCACTCCTCCCTTCATATTGTAAATAATTCAAATTATGAAAAATATTCAAATTATTAGGATAATTATTCAAATTATGGAAATTATTCAAATTATTCAAATATTATTCAAATTATTCATATAGTAAATAATTCGAATTATGGAAATTATGGAAATATGCATATAAGGATATATTGCCATTTGGAAATTTGGAAGGAAGGAAGGAATGAAACTTCCATAGAAGAGTGGGAAAGCGTGTTCAAAGAAAATAGGAATGTGAGAAACATATGCATATAAGGATATATTGCCATTTGGAAATTGGGAAGGAAGGAAGGAATGAAACTTCCATAGAAGAGTGGGAAAGCGTGTTCAAAGAAAATAAGGAATGTGAGAAACATATTATTTACTACTGATGAGAGAGAGGGAGAGAGCATATTGATGTTCGAATGTGTCTCTCGCATTGAGCCATCACTGTTTGAAAAAAAAAATCTCCCTTGCCCTCATTGATCCCTTGTCCCCTCTGTCTATCTATATATATTAATCACTTTTCGTTCAGACATTCCTTACAGTCTCTCTCTCTCTCTCTCTCTCTCTCTCTCTCACATACACACACACGGTAGTTTTTGCAACCATTCACAAAGTCTCTCTGTAACGCCCACAAAATAATACATAAAACCCATCACTTTAGACATGCATTGATATAAAAGAAAACCAACCATTTCTATTCATCAGAGTAATTCTTACAACTGTATTACATGTTAACAACAAAAGCAAATGCCCTATGGGCTTACAGCTTTCCAAGTCAACACCTGGTTACACAAAAGAAGAGTACTAACTCTATACAAAATAAGCCCTTGGCTTGATATACATGTAATACAAACAAAAGAAGAGTCTTCAACTCTCATTATCATCCAAGCTATGTCCTTGGAGGCGGCATACTCACGTTCCCAAGTGGCCTCCTCCACTCCGTGATGTTTCCACAAAACCTTCACCAAAGGGATGGTCTTGCCACGCAGGACTTAATCCTGCCTATCCATGACCCGAACCGTTCTCTCCTCATACGAGGCATCCTCATCTACCTCCAAGTCGGTCCAATCTAACACATGGGACGGATCCGGCTCATACTTCCGAAGCATACTCACATGAAACACGTCATGCACTCTGGACAACTGCGGCGGTAAAGCTAAACGATAAGCAACCTCGCCAACCTTCTCAAGGATCTCAAAGGGACCAATAAACCGAGGGATAACTTCCTACTCTTCCCGAACCTCATCAAACCTCGCCTAGGTGATATTTTCAAGAAGACATGATCACCTACTTCAAACTCCAAAGGCCTCCTCCTACGGTCGGCATAACTCTTTTGGCGACTCTGGGCTGTAACAAGCCTCCTACGGATAAACTCAACTTTCTTCATCGTCTCCCTAACCAACTCCGGACCCAACAAAGGTGCATCACCCACCTCGGCCCAACACACTGGAGACTTACAAGGTTGGCCATAGAAGGCCTCAAACGGTGCCATACCGATGCTAGACTGAAAACTATTGTTGTAGGCAAACTCCACCAACGGCAAGTGCCTCTCCCATGACCCACTAAAGTCTAGAACACAACCCCGAAGCATATCCTCGAGGATCTGAATAGTACGCTTGGACTGCCCGTCAGTCTGAGGATGATAAGCCGTGCTAAAGGTCAACTTAGTGCCTAAGGCACTCTGCAAACTCTGCCACAACCTGGCAGTAAAACGAGGATCTCTATCTGAGACGATCGTCACTGGAACCCCGTGTAACCTCACTATGTCCCGAATATACAAGTCGGCAAGATGATCTACCGAATCTCTCACGCGCATAGGAATGAAGTGCGCCGACTAAGTACCTCCAGCAAATAAGATACAATCTGCTATGAATTAAATCAGTAACAGTGCCCTCAATATAGGATCTCACACCACTCGACCCACAATTTAGAGACTCACACCACTCGACTTGAGCTTCCTTACCCTGCAAATAAAGAATTATAATATATATTAACATAAACAAATATGGTGGCTGACAACACTCAACCCTCATGTAAAGTGACAATTTAACTTCTCTCATCACTCAACCCTCAAAGATATGTATGCAACCACAGTGAACTCTGAACAAACCTGCACAAGACCAAACCATTATGCAAACACACAATGTTGCTCACCTACACTCAACCCACATATATGGAACTCACATCACTCAGCAGCCCTCCCATATCTGATAATATGGGGCTTCAATATCGTTGTTGGCAGGTTCCATTGGGCAAGAAACCAGCTGTCACTAGCAGAGTTAGGCAAATTCTTAATGGATAGCATTCTACTTCTCACCATCTGGATTACAGATTTAATAACCACCTCTTCAGGCTTACATTCTTTGTTAAAAACACGATTATTTCTCTCAATCCAGATGTGGTAGATAGAGCACAAGAAAGCATTGCTAAGAATATTAGCCCTAAGAGAATTACCCTTGGTTTCTTTTGTAGCATATGTAACAATATCAGGCCAATCCAAAACAGGCCACTTCATGTTACATTTGCCTTCAATAGCACCCCAAACTCTATTAGTAAAACTACACTTAAAAAAGAGATGAGAATGACTCTCTCCAGGGTCAAGGCAAAAAGGACACTGTGAATGAGGAGATAAACCAAACAGCATTAGCCTATCTCCAGTGTATAACCTGTTATGGATAGCAACCCAGACAATAAAACTAACTTTAGGAATCCTATGAGGGCCCCAAAGGAGTTTATGCCAGACCACTCTGTCAGACCTACTTCTCCTTTTTCTCCTCCCAAACAATCATACATATACAATTTAATTAAACACATAATCATACATGGAGTACATTCACTTTCTCCTCTCAAACAAACATACATATACAATGTATATACAACGTGATCATATTCAATGATAATCAATAATGGATTAGTTTTAGTTCACCTAATCCTTATGGAATTTCTACAACAATCATAGCATTTTTCCACCGATAGCCCATTACAATTATTTCTAAACAAATGTTTAATCTCAAGTAGATAGTTCATTCCAAAATTTCCAAAGGTGTAAGATAATACATATCTTATTCCACCATCTATGTCATTAGTCATCCCATCTCACATTTTCAATGTCAATTTCAATTATTTATACAAAATAACACCTTGACCCAATTAGGGCAAACTTCCCCCCTTTTTCCTAATATCAACCCATGTATCGAAATCAACCATTTTGACACAACATGGCCTCATTTTCAAACCCCACAATCATTTTCCATAAACCAATTCATAACCCCCATTTCCATTTTATAATCACTGCGACTATGTTTCATTCCACTTTTCATTTCTTAACAGTTTCACAATTTATATCAATGGCTCAGAACCTGGCCAACCACTTATATGAGACTGTGACTCATATTAAACATTTTCCATTTTTACAATAGATAAACATACTAGTTGTATCAACGTCTCAACAGATAAGCATACAAGTTGTATCCCCATTTCAACAGATATGCATATTAGCTATATCAATACTTCCAAAGATAAGCATATGAGCAG